TTTATTCTGTTAGGACGAGAGTTTCCAGTAGGAAATCCGGAATACTTTAGAATGTTTGCAGAAGTGGCCTTTGGTGTGGAGGAGTTGGCCGAGTTTTCTTTCACAGACACACAACCAACGCAGGCTCCGCCACCAACCGTATGTCTCATCTCCATTTGTGACCTAAACACCACCTATTCTACCATTTGTCCTTGATGAAGTACTTACGGATGTAAAATGAGACCTCAAACAGGCTCATCATCCGAGAGCGCATACACCCCATGTGGATGTTTCCGTTGCCTTCCTTCTGATCCATCTCCTCCGTTTCTTCACTTTACCAGTCTACTTTTGCTGATCAATATTCTGATCCTTCTCATCTCAGACATCTGCACCCTCTCAGACCGCATCTACCTCAGCACCTTCCGCCGCTCAACCATCTCCAGCTACCGTTAACCGACCCGCTCAACCAACACAAGTCCCCGCTCCCCCGCAGCAACAATCTGTAAATGTCACTAGTTTTAGTGCCGAGAAGGCGATGCCAGCAGGATGGAATGGCTACGGCCAACAAGGCACACAACCACAACCGCCCACACAACAATACAATCAGAATCTGAATACAGGTGCCCAAACTGAATCTCGTATGTACCTCGCCCTTAATTAGTCCTTAAAATAGTTTGCTAATATCGTCTGGTCTTGTTCTTGTAGTGGACCGTGCCATGGGGGCTATGAAATTGAACAATGGCGCACCCTCGCAGCCAAAGGGTCCAGTAGCTGGAGTCTCTGGTTCTGGACCTGCACAAACTGGACGTCATACGCCTCGTGGTCAAGGAGGAGGGCCCAGGCGCGGCCGAGGCGGAAATCGAGGAAATGGTCACCAGTCACACCAAGCTGCTCAAGAAATAAAGATCCCGACAACAGACTTTGACTTTCAGGCTAGTAATAGGCGATTCGACAAGACTTCGATCGCCAAGCATCACCAATTTTTGGATGCTACTTCGCCGGATGGTACAACCCCCACCAATACGGATGCTCCCGAGAATCCCACGGTTGCTTCACCCAATGAAGCAGTCGTAGATGAGACTGCAGATGCAACGGACAAGAAGGAGGACGACAAGGCCTATAATCCCACCAGATCATTTTTCGATAACATTTCTTCGGATCTGACGGCGAAGAAAGCCGCATCCAGACCTGCAGCCGGTACTGGTGCTGCTTTGGGTGACCGAGGGGCTGCCAGAGGTGGCAATAACGGTAGTGGTGGTGGTCGCGGAAGGGGTGGCGGGCGATCACGACGAGACGAAGAGAGAGATAGGAACTTGGAAACGTTTG